CCCCAAAACCCCAAAACCCCAAAACCCCAAGAGAGGATTTATAAATAGAAAAAGGAAATATTAAAATAAGAAATATTAAATAAATGAACAACAACCAGCATTCTGAGCATAATGAGACACTCAATGTAACGAAGATGGGAGATGCCTCTAACTACCTTCTATCTGTAACGGATCAAAATCTTCATGATTAGTCATTCGCAGACTATAACACCAGAGATATACCTCCTAAAAATCTATTCAACCAGAATAATCATAAGGTTAAAGTAGTGAAGACTGCTGCAATGGAAGTTGATGAGGCTGACTATAACACCTCCACTAATATTCCACTAACGAAGCAAAACACAAAAAATTAGGACTCAACTTAAAATACTTTTGATGTAACTTCACCTAGCAAGAGGAAAAAATCTAAAAAAGATGTTTTTGGAATAGTTACTCTTGAAGATGAAAACAAGCAATCTCAAAATTCGCAGAGACGATTTAGTATGAGGTAAATTTTATTGACTTTCAGAATTTCTACATTATCTTATATTTATCATCATCAATCAATTCTTAAAATAATATTCTTAGAAAAGGTGATTCAAGAGTCTCAGAATTAGAAAATTCAGAATTTGATAGGAGTGAATAAAAATAGAGACCATTTCTGGATAGGTTAATAATTAAGAAGCAAAGCAAATGGAAGAGTTTTCTTGATATATTTATGATTATCCTGGCTGTTTACTCAACCTTCACCTCTACATATTAGTAAAATTATATTGTGTAATTTTCATAGTGCTGCTTTTGGACTAGAAACATCTGCTATTAATGAGGGTTTTAATATAGCTGTTGAAGTGCTTTTCGGAGTAGATATCATACTAAGTAAGTATCTATTTATGATTCTGACTCCAAATTAATTCTGCAAGATATTATACTTAATTCAAACATATTTTCTTGAAATCTCACAATGCCATTTAGATTTTTTCACAGAGTACATTAGCGAAGAAGACTTTTACCCTGTTAGAGACATTAAAAAAATAGCCATCAGATATCTTAAGTAAGCTTTTTAATTTTATGATGATCAGTAATTAATCAATATATTTAGGCGGTCATTCATATTTGACATGCTTAGTGTGATACCTTTTAGGTACTTTATTAAAGATGCAGAAACTAGATAGCTGTGTTCACTTTTTAAAATTTTGAGACTACCAAAACTATTCTTACTGCTTGACTCGAGAAATTTCAAGCATATTATTAAAACTTACTACGACAATAAACTGTAGAGAGTACTTAAGAATGTAGACATGAAGCATGATCAGCTTTAGGATAACAACAATATCATGCTATAGATTATGATCAACTATGCATTTAAGGTTCTAAGATTAATTATTGTGATTTTTTCAATCAGTTACTTTATTGGCACTCTTTGGTACATCTTTACTTGGTAGATAGATGATCCCAATGATGATACTCCTAATTCTAACTTTTTCAAAACATATGGAATGAGAGAACTTAAGAAGAATAATGATGACATCAATAGCATGATTATAGTTGTTTACTTTGCTTTCACGACACTAGCAACTGTGGGTTATGGCGATTATCATGCAGTTAGTGACTCTGAGAGAGTAGTCTGTTCTATCATATTGCTTTTTGGTGTGGCAGTCTTTTCCTTCATTATGGGTAATTTCATTGAGATTCTAATGTCCTTCAAAATTGTAACGGCTTAGAATGAGGAGTCTGAAAATCTTACTAAATGGCTTGGGCTCTTGGCTAGATTCAACAAAGGTAGACCATTACCTAAAGAGATGATCAGGAAAATAGAAAACTACTTTGATTACTATTGGGCATAGGATCGTAATTATGCGCTCAAAAGTTAAGATGATTTGAGATTCATGCAAGAACTTCCCAAATAGATTAGAATCAATGTAAACCACATTCTTTTTTTCTTAATAATCTTTCTATAGATATTCAGAGAATTTTTGTTTAAAAATTTCCTATACCAATTCAGATCCTATTTCACTATTGAAAGAGATCCCTCTGAATTAAACGATTCAATGTCCCTTGAAGACAGCAAAGTGCAAAAGCTCAAATTCTACAATTGGAATGATACCCAGTATGCGTAATTTATGATGAACATCATGCAAAACCTAGAGCCAAGAAAATATCAAAGAAATGATCTGATACTTTATGACCTTGAAGAAGTAGATGAAGTTATCTATGTGTGCAGTGGACAATATGGTGTAGGTTATTAGTTAAACAACTAGGAATATATAGCAGTTAAAATAGGTTAGAAATCAGTTATAGGGGATCATTCAGTAGTCTTTAGAAAAAGATCTGAATTTATGTATCGAGCTCTGGGTGAAATGGACTGCTATGGGCTCAGAAAAAATAGGCTTTACACAATTTTCGATAAATACAAAGAGTTTAGTGCGAAGATGAAGAAAAATATTTCTTCAAGATATTAAGATGTTATTAGAAAGAATGTGCTAGAGCACAAATAAAAGACAATTGAGAAGATTAAGAGAATTTATAAAATTGAGTATTCATTGTGGATGTATGTAAGCAACCCACTGGACGAAGAAAAAGAACTTAAAAAAGAAATGGAAAACAAGGCTGGAGAGGGCTAAGCTGCAATGAGAAGAGTAAAAAAACTTGAGTAAAAAGTTGAGAAACTTGGAAACTCTGTCTATTAGCTATTCAAAAAGTACGATAATTAGTTGCAAGAACTTATGACAATTTGATTATCGGAATATAAACTTATAAAACTCATTACCAATCTTTCAACTACATATTTATAGTTATATCAACAAATATTTCAGTACCTTCTTTTAACTAACTTATCTTTAATCTCGGGGTTTTGGGGTTTTGGGGTTTTGGGG